TGCACATGGAAAACTAGAGTGGAGCGACACTTAGGAGTGACAAGGTCTATGGCTGCATTTGCCCGTCTCCCCAGAGCAGACATACACCCCCCCACCGCGGTCCCCACACTCCCAGCCTGTGCCCTTCAGCCCTCCCCACTGCCTCAGTCCTGCACCTCCCACCCTCCTCCTCCTCCTCCTCCTCTCCACTGCAGCTCCTTCTTCCTAAGCCTAGGCCAGGTAACCTATTGCTTACATTCAGCAGCTCTGGGTAGGGGGTGGGATAAAATGTCAGCTTCGCAATATTCAGTCAATGTGATTTGATAAATCCAAATGCTCTCGAGCCCAAATGCAGCACCCCCCCCCCCTTTTTTTGTTGGAGAGTAGAAAGGGTCAGTTCTTATATCTGTGAGGACGGGAGGCTGTAGTAGGGAGGGGGGGGGGTGCTGTCCTGAAGACAGAGGTAGGGAAACTCGGGGCCCAATAATCAGAGACCCGCATGGGGAAGACCACTGGGTCTGCCCTCGACCCCCGGCCATCATTACGGCGTTTGCGTGCCTGCATTCTGTGGGGGCCCGGGGGCCAGAGGGGCCCAGGCCCCCGACCTCCTGACCTTTCACCCTCAGCCTAGAGCCACCTCGCTCCTCCACACTAGGTGCTGCCTTTATATCCAGAAACTCCAGCTGCACACATACATTCTCAATAAATACCATAAAATATTCTGTAAATATATATAGTTAAAATAAGTTTAAATAGGACAACCAAATAAAAAGGCTCATTGTAGACCAAAATCCAAAGTCAGATGAGTGTTAAGACGAAAAAAAAAAAAATCTTACTGTAAAATAGCTTTTATGATTTCATAATCAGATGCATTACACTTATCAAAGCAATATTTACGCTCTCAATATTTATTTCAAATAGATGCAGCATACCAAGGTAACTGAGGTGCTGTGTTTCGAGATTTCTATGGTATCACTCCTTGGACCGACGGGCACTCACATGACATGATTTGGCCAATGAGATGCAAGCCAAAGGAGCTACTTTCTGGCAGGGTCGGGGTCCCCCGCAGACCCACCGCCTGGGGTAAACACACTTCCGGGCATTAAGCAGAGAGAACGGAGACAGGCTGTCATAAGGCCTTTGCACAGTAGGAACAACTCAGGTTGATGCAGCAAAGCCAGTCGCCGCTGCCGCCCCCCCGTAAACAGGGGCACACATCACATGATGATTCAGCAAATAAATGCCTCCTTTGGAGCACAATGAAGGAGGCAGCAGTACCGCTCCCTCAGGTCCAGATCGAGCCTCGTGACGCTCAGTTCAGCAGCCCAGGGCCAGGCAGTGTCAGGTGAGTGTCCGCCCCTACCCCCCCCCCCCCCCCGTCCTGTCGTTTGGTCCTGACTCCTATAAACTATGAAAGAGCTTAACCATACCGTTATGGCATTTCTTTAACCATTTGCACATTCGTATGGATATTTATTTATGCAACGTCATTAAATCCTGCATCTCAGCCTTGCGACAGTTAGAAAATAAGACTTTGATTCGTTTTTGTTTCGTGTTTCAGCACCAGCATCAGGAAAGGCACTTTCTGTGGACTTTGCTCATCCCCACCCCCCCCCCCAAAAGAACAACCGAAATATTTATCTGGGCTAAGGAACTGTCAAGCGGGTTCGTCCTGGGCGCCAACACACCGGTTTGTCTAGCAGCGAGGTATGGGGTGACAATGGGGAAGCAGCACGATTTTTAAAGGACCTACACAGCTTCACCACTAGCCGGCGATACCAGCTGCGGCTTGAGCGCCGCGAAATCTTGTCGACCCTGCGGTGATCAGGTCAAAGCTGCCTCACATCGCATCACCGCGGCCCCATGTTCCCACGTCCAAATCCATACTTCCTCCCACCCGGCACCGGCCTCTAGACAGCACAAACTCATAACTACCAACAGACAGAAGTCTACCGGCCCCATTCCACTTTATGAAGCAGTGGCTACCAACTCACAGAGACACTGAGCACGGACGGGGGTGGGGGGGGGGGTGGGGGGAGCGAGGCTCTGCACAGGTTTTGTTGTCCAGAGGATCAGAAGTGCAAACAAAAATGTACACGTAAGCCAAATGGCAAGCTGCTCCCACCAAGGACAGACACGCCGCCGACCCCCTCCCCCCCCGGGGATTGACATGGGTACGAGTCTTAGCCCACGGAAACCAAAGAGCACAATGTGGGACACGACAACTGTGCAGCAATTTTAGCAACAGCGCCTGCGATAACAGTCCACTTTCTGCTCAAAGCAGTCTTCTGATACTGAGCTTACTTACGAGGAGATAAGTCAACAGTCTATTGCATTATCATTATTAAAACTCACTCATAATTATTATAACCATTCACTATTATACTTAATTTGTTAGCAAAAATAACTGGTGAGCATTACATAATTTAAAATATACAAATATACCCACTCTCTGGTTTAAAAATGCTCTTAAGTGTGAAACTGATGGGACCCCACCCACCTGGCTTCAGAAGCAAGAGGATGCTACAGCCACAGGCACTCAACCCCCCACCCCCCACCCCACCCCCCAGAGTGCCACCAGAGGCCCTGCTCCCACATGCGGCAGCCCCTTCGAACCGAATGCCACGACTCATCCCATCTATCACCCTCAGAGTGTCACCCCGCCCCCCCCCCCCCCCCCCCCCCCCCAAAAAAAAACACGCACACAAAAATCACACGTGCACATAAACTCCTGATTTGAGTGTAACATGAAATCCCGTGTCCACTCTCCAGACTCCAAAAGTGACCACATGAGGTTCCTTATAATTACTTAAACAGGTGTGGGGGGGTGGTAGGCAGAACACCGCACCCCCCACACATGAAACCACTCCCCAAATCCTCCAAGGTGATGTGGCACAGCAGCCACACCGCGTAGCACCAGGCCTGTGTTCAGTCCGACACGTGCATCTTTTAGTGCAGAAATAGTCTCACACTCTCTCTATACACATATGATGAATAGCAGCTAGGTCCACTCACCTGGTGTTTCCCGCATACAGAGTGCAGCGGAAGGCAATACACAAAGAAAGGGTCTGGAGGCTGGTGGTGTGCCGGCGGCACGCGGGACACCGTACTGTACGTGGGGCCTCCAGGAGGCTGAGGGTACGGCTGACTGGGAAAACAATGCCCTTCGCGGAGAGGAATTTTTATTTTTTTTTAAAAACTACTGTTCTTGTTGCTTCTTCAGTGCAAATTATACACTCATACTATTTGGGAGGGGAAAAAAAAAAAGAGCTCGGCCAGTTGTACTGTTCAAATTCACATTGTGGATTAAACAAAACCGAAATAAGAAAAATAGTCTGTGAAATAGAGTCGCCTCTATCTGTGCCTCTCTGGCCTTGCTTGATCAGGTGTGTGTGTGTGTGTGTGTGTGTGTGTGTGTGTTCTGTCACTCAACAAAAATAAAAGCGAACATTATATGCCACACTTCCCTTCTAAATAAAATAAAATGATCAGGCACTTGATCTCAGGCTACTGCCCCAGCCAAGAACCCTGTCCGAGGGACCAGCATCCCAAGGCACACACATCCACCCCCCCCTGAAGTACACCACGGACCCGCACTTTAACATACAGCAGCCTACCACACTGCAAACAAAGCCCATGGTTCCCTTTAAAGCAAACAGCCACCTGACTCGACTAGACTCCCCGCTGGGAGGGCGCACCTCATTCTGTTTTAGGCCTGGGGTAGCCAATGAGAGCCGCCCCTCTGGATCTTACGCCCGGGGTAGCCAATGAGAGCCGCCCCTCTGGATCTTACGCCCCGGGGTAGCCAATGAGAGCCGCCCCTCTGGATCCCGGGCTGTCACCTGCGCAAAACACGGATTATTGCACTAAAGGATGGTGGCAATGTGATGTGCGGCCTTCAGAGTAGTTCTGGAGAGAGCACACTATCCTAAGCAGGCGGACAGAAATAATGCTGAGCTGAGAATCAACATCAAATAATTACACTTCGCTACGCTAATAAATACTGGGGAGCGAGAAACGAACCGTGAGAAGTATCAAATGCGAACCGAAAGGAAATTGGGATTACGACGCGATCTCGTAGAGAAAAGCCGACAGAAGGGGGAGCCAGGCACCAGCGCCCCCCCCCCCACACTTGATATTATTATTAGATTATAATGTGCATCACTCTGTTAGCAGGAAACATCACTAGTCAGCATGAAAATCAAAACATCGCTTGACTTGCTTTCCCCCCAAGCAAAGGAAGGCTTCAGTGGCTGTTCTGCTTACACTTACACCTTGTTGCCTGAGGGTGGCACTGTGCTCACAATTACAAATCCAGAATCTAAACATCCCCCCCCACCCCCCTTGATTGGTTTTTGTCCGGAATTAGTTCAGTGCTCCAAATTGACACACACACGTTGTTAAGTCACCATTGGCTAAAACAAAGGAAGTGGGAAAGGGGGGGAGGGGCGTGTGAGGACATGCAGGGGGCCGAGTGGGGGCCAGTCAGCTATGTGGGCGGGGCTTCCGGTTCTCCCCAGCCCGACCACACCCCAAACGCGCTGCTCCCGCTCTCCTTTTTCCACTCCTTTTCTCCCAAACAAGAAAACAGACCAAAACGAATAAAAACGAAGAAAGGAAAACAGACGGAGAGTGCTGCTTTACACCTCTGAGGTAAAGGCATGACGAGGAGATCAGAGGGGGTGCAGAAACAAACACGCCGAGTGTGCGTGCCCCCCCCCCCCCCGTGGCCGACCAAGAGGGGGCACACAGAGGTGGCAGGGGAGGTCTAAAAGCAGTTGGCTGGTTTCATATTGCATAATAGTGCTGTGTTCCCTTGTCATTTTTTTTTTTTTTTTTTAATTCTTCTTCGTCATTTTGTGTCAAAGCAGCTTTACAGGGGAAGGGGGTGTACACCCCCCGCCCCCCCTTCTGCACAGTGTCAGGTGCGGATTGACTGGCAAGGTGAGGCCGCCCCACTGCGGAGACGGACCCTCCCAGGCAGACTGGGCATGTAGCTTGGGTCTCGGCTTGGGGGTGGGGTGTAATGGGGGGCGGGGGGGGGGGGGGCTGAAGAGGGGCCTCTCAGGCGAAGTACATGGTCCGCAGGGTGTCGTGGTGGATCTGGACGGCTTTGGCCAGCGCCTGGGGGTCCCGGCCGTTGCTCTGCCCGGAGACGTGGCTGCCTTCAGCACTGAGCAGAGGGAAGAGCCGGGACACTCATTTAAAAAAGGGCCCAAAGTGTTCCACCACCCACCCCATACCCCTTCCCAAAGTGCATTCTGGGTAATAATAATAAAAAAAAAACACCAGCTGACACGACAGGCTGCTGGTATAAGCTTCCCCACACTCACCTGTCATGCTCCTTGTCCACCAGGTGGTATCGGGCTCGAAACGCCACCAAGTGGGCGTAGTAGGCGGGCGCGGGGATGGAGACGGAGCGCGTGCAGCGCACGTAGGTGTGGCACAGCTGGTAGGTGAGCAGCTGGAACTCGTCGGCCGTGAAGCAGTTGTCATCCCACAGGACGTGGTAATGTGAGGGGCGGCTGGTGCCCTGGAGATGAAGGGGAAGAGGAGGAGGAGGAGGGAGAGGATCAGTTAGCATCAGGAGGGAATAACACGACCGGGCGGATGTGAGAGAGCACGGTGCTGCTGGGCGTGTGAGGGCCAAATACTGAGTGATACGCAGCCCTGCAGGGCAGAAACCGTGCATCGGCATGTCTCTCTCAATTACATCTGGGAATCCAGTGTCATTTTCATCGAGGCATCAAGTTTTCTGCAGAAATTCTGTGCTGAGAAACCACATTTTTCGCCAGGAGGAGCGCCCTGCACTGTGCTGCTAATGGAAGTGTACAGTGCAGCGAGCATGAGAACGTTTAGCGTCGTGGAAGTGCTTGCTCAGACCTCGCGAAAAGCAACCGCCCGGCGGGATCCAGGCCGTGGGGAAACAAGCGAGAGCGAGAGAGCTTGCGAGAGAACACACCTGTATTCCAGCATGGCTGCAGAGGTAAAAGTCAAACTCGTAGGGATGGGTGATATCCGTGTCCACGGTTGTGCCGGCAGGAATGTTTCCGCTACGTCCAACCTGGGGGGGGGGATGGGGGAGGAATTGTAAGCCGTGAGTTGGACACGCCTAAGCACGGTGCAAACGGCTCAGAAAAGACGACTAACTGAATTGGGGAGGTAAAATCTGATTAGGGGGATTTGAGGCATGGCCACTCAGACCTTTTGTTGCTGGCTAAACACAGAGGTAGGACCCACATGGCAGCTAATGCCACCTCTAGTGGGCTCTTGGCTGCCCGCTGCACTCAATGCTGCCCCAAGCAATAACAACGGTGTAATTACAGCTAATCAGAGCTGCGTGAGACTACACCAGGACCTACGATGAGCACTGCCATTAGCCAAGCCACACAGACAGAAAAATAAGTCATATTTCCAAGCTACCATTATGTTGTGAATCCTGCTTTATCGTCATCTGTGTCGTACTTCAAAACGCAGCTCTAGGCAAAGATCAGACTTCAGTCACTTTCAGCCAAGAGTAACGGTAGAGGGTCTGCAGAGACCCAGACTAGGCGGGCGATATGTCAAAAATATTGAGTCACGATTTTTTTCTGGCGAGATCACGATCCATGATCTTATCACGATTCTTTTTCATGTTACTGAACATTACAACCAAACTAATTCCCTTATCTAACAAAAAAATATAGCCGTATAAGGTAACTAAACCTAAAAGAAAAAAAATGACATCACACTCTTTTGGGCGTCTTCCAGTAGAGAGTATGCTGAGCGCATTTGGCTGCCACTTCTAACTGGTATTTCCCCCCCCCCCCTTGTCTTTTAAACCATAATTTACAACTTGCTCCACAATGACTGCCCACCATTCTTCGCTACCTGTTAAAGTAGTTTATATACTGTGTGGTAGAACTCGCACACTGTCACATGTCTGGATGGTGCGACTTAGTCTGTGCCGGTCATTTGGAATTGCCTGACACTGGCGTTATAAGCACCGCTCGAAAGGAGGACCTTTGGTTATTAACTATGGCATGATTACCTCAATCTCACTTATGACATCTGATCGTGTTTGCCGGTGCAATGCGGAATCTATTCAAGGGGGAAACCAGGATCATCTTCCTCCGCCAGCTAGACTCTGCATCTGCCTCCCCTGGCCATTTCTACTAAAGTCGTGCTCTTCTGAACGCTCTCTCCATAACCAATAAGGCTTCTCTAATCAATAACCTCATTACCCAGAAGAAAGTAGACATATTTTCTTCTTGGCAACAAACTGGGAATTATTTACATTTAGACCTTATCCACATGTCTCGACGTGTAGACAAGGAACACAGAGTTTTTGGTCAGATTTTGCACTGCTATCCATGTTCTTTGACGTCAAAGTGTGCGCCATTCGCCGTTTACGTTAGCCGTTCTTAGCCTAGCAGAACCGGTAATGAGGCTACTAATTGGCCAACATGACTCTATATATGGCTGCAACAAAACATTAAATATGCCAAACTTTATACTTCAGATCAGAGTTAACCAAAATAACATGTCGCTGAATAGCACTATTTTCAATTGATGAAAATATAAACTAATATTTTACACATGGGATATTTAGGTAATAGTGTTGATCTGAAAACTGGAAATAGACGACCGGAGTAATTAAAATGACAAGCATATACAACTGATTTCTTCCCCCCCCGTCAGCAAAATTGTTAACACCTCTTCTTGCTAAACAATAAAGCGACCACTGTAGTGTGTTGCAAATATGGTTTGCCGTAAAATGGCAGGAAGAAGGTAACGCGACATGCGAATGCATGGGAAAGCTGCGCATGTGCATACGTATGAGGTACAGATTGGGTTGGTGGTACGGATAAGGTAGTCACATCCCGTCGTCCACATAATATTGCCCTAGAGTGTGATTTGCAACGCAATGATACTGACCAAAGAGCACAACATGTTTTTATCGCACAGCCCTGCCAGACTGTCACTTCTCCAGCACACAGACATACTTAGAAGAGCATTGTTTATTACAGCAAGGCTGCAGGTCTCAGAAAAGCGACTTCTGAGTATCTTCAAAACCACAGTTGAGGGGGCATGCTGGCCTACTTCAGTTTTTTCCATGTACAATTACAGTCTAAAAGTGAACTTCATACAGAGTAGCTACATAGTGCTTCTGCTTACAACAGCCAAGAATTGTCACACTGCCTCAATACGGAGACCGCAGCAGCCTCAAATCAAAGGCTTTTAAAAATCAATCCAAACCAAGCAAGATTCTTTTTATTAATATGCATTCGGTCATTTTAAACAGACCCGGAAAGCGCAGGCTGAAGATTAAGCACGGAGCTTCCACACTCACCCTCTCGTTGCGGTCGGCGCAGAAGAGCCGCGTGTGGTGGCGTTTCTGCACCACGATGTAGGTGATGCCTGGCTGATATTCCTTCTCCAAACTTATGCAGGCCTCGCGGATGGCCAGCAGCTCGTAATAGAGCACCTGAGTCGGGGAAGGGGGGGGGGGGGCATGGGCTCAGCGAAAAGGGTACATGCTCTCTGCCAGACACTGCAGGGCTGATCTTCCTGCTCACCTTCCTGAACTATTACTGCAGCCATTCATGCTCAGAGCAAGTCCACTTATAGGTGCCGTACAAAATGGAGGCAAGGCAGAAAGGCGCATGTATCCCAGAATCATCCCAGACGGAAGAACATTCCTCTGGAAAAGGCTTTGATATAGGGCTGACCGTGGCACTGTGGGAACTGGCAGAGCTGGTGTGGCACGCACCTGTCGGAACTGGCCCTCTGACACGCCGTCCCTGTAGAAGATGATGCGCGTGGGCTTGTAGCGGGTCGACTTGTAAAACTGGATCAGCAGCTCGCGCACCATGGAAGCCAGGTCCTGGATCACCTCCTGCCGGGGCCGCTGGACCCGCACTGTGGCGCAGTAGCGGCTGGGGTGGGCGTCCATACTGCCCACCACCTAGGGAGGGTGGGGGGCAAATAGGCCAGCTCATAAGACTGGCTCAGAGTGCCTCAGGAGAGTACACGGTATGACCAGCAGGGCGGTGATAAGCATACAGAGAGATAACATGGGCTATACTCACAGCTGCAATGGACGGCTTCTTCCCATCCCCTGCAGGGGGGTGTGTCACATCAGCCCCCAGGAAAATGACTGGCTGTTGAAACACTGAGGGTCTGGTGGAGGAAAATAAGAAAAAACAGGACGAAGAGTCAGACAAAGCCGACTCCAGTACAATCAAGACAAATGTCATTGTTTGCTTGTTCTTTTGCCCGCAACTGTTGAGGGGGAGCTCTCTGGACTTCTGGGGGGAGTGGGGGATAACCGTGCATTGTGGGTGGACACACAATATCAAAAGTCACACGATCTCACCGCTGATGTGGCACCAGGATGTTGTTGATGCCGCCCAGCTTGACGTTGATCTTGAGGCAGAGGTTGGACAGGGTCTGGGGGGACGTCTTCACCACGTTCTTCACCTGGACGCACTGGGTGGCCATTCCCAGTAGGGTGTCTCCTACCCGCTTCACCTCCGCTGCAGTAAAGAAAGAAGATAAGAAATACAGTTACATTTTATTTGTTTAGCAGCAGCTTTTGTCCACAGAGATGTGCAGTTTTTGAGAAAGCAGAGTCACGCGGTCCTGGGGGCAATTGGGGGTTAAGGGTCCTACTCAGGGGCACAACAGTGACATCACTCTGCCGACCCTGGGATTTGAACAAAAACATTCTGATCACAGGGACAGTGTCCCGACCCACTGAGACACACACCGTGCCCGATTAGGTACAATTATGTGCATTATATACGGTTTCTGTTGGAGACACAATGCAGAATCATAAATAAATGTCCTC